TCTCCGGGGAATAACTATCACCGCACTCCACAAGCTGCTCTGTAGACCTGGGAATAGAGCACGAAGGTCTTTCCGGAAGGTTTTCAAGCTAAGCTGCAAAGGCGCCCCCTGTTGGGATAATGGTGCAGATGACAGATGCTCTTGTGAGCTGACCCTGAACCCAGACATACCGGCCAGCTTCCCACCAGCCCCTCCTCCCCGCCCCATCCTGCCCCCTGTGGTTGGGAGGCATCGCACCCCCTGGAGGATGGAGAGCGGAGCTTGCCCACAGAGATGTAAGCCCCTGGGCATCACTGCAAGCGCCCAGCTCCGCTCCCCCTCCGCCCACTGGGAAGCAGTGTCTCAACTCAAGGGCAGGTCCAAGCTGCTCAGGGCGACAGGCCTCTGAGCAGAGGAGCCCGGAGCACGGGGCACTTGCTGGGGACGATGAGGTAACGCCGGGGAAGGGCTAGAGCGCGGCCCCCAGGCCACGGGTCTCACTGTGGACGTGAGGAGACTGAGGAGACAGCCATCTTCAAAGACTCTTACCCATTTCATTTCAAGAAAATGGAACCAACTTGTTTCTGGGAAATGGGGTGCATTCGGACATTTCTTCATTAACCCCAATTAGGGACATCAGAGGAGCAGGAGGCGCCCAGACCCACAGCCCAGAGATGCCATGTTGCCCAAGAACCACATGAAGGGTCCCACCAACATCACTCCAAGTTCATGGTCAGCACATGAGTGTGTGGTTTGGGGGTGGGGTTCTCTCCCACCCCTCCTGGCAATGATTGCTTCCCCCCCATTTTTTCCCCCCAAACGGTATCCGACCTTTGTAAAAAACATACGCACACATGCACACACATCAGATCCGTGTTCCTGGAGAGCGTGGCCACCTCCTGGGCCGCACGCAGCGCTGAGTCAGGACCCCTCGTGGGCCCCGCCCTGGCGCCTCCGTGCATCAGCCCTGCCGGGAAAGGCCCGGGGCCGGAAAATGCTGAAAAGGAAGCTCTAATTAAAGAAATCTGACCTTTTGTTCCTCAAATAATTTGGGAGCAAAAATATCTGCTAATCTTTTTCTGATTATATTTATGGTATTTTTCCATTTGAAAAAGCATCAGCGAAGGGAAAGGAAACAATAGAAACATTTCCACTTTCAAAGGAAGCAGAGCCGTGTCCAAGGGGCCCGCCCAGGTCCGTCACCAGCAACCACAGCCGAAACGCCAAAGGAAGCCAGTGTGTGCCCGAGGGGGCTGGAGGCCCTGGCCTTCCAGAATGCCCCACCCCTTTTGGCAAGAGACCATCTCTAGGGGGGAGGCCCCAAGGGGGCCCAGGCGGCAAAGGCTGCTCCAAGGCCCAGGGAGACCTTCCCACCTCCACACGTGCACGCATGCGCGCGCGCGCGTGCGCGCACACACACACACACACACACATCCCACGCAGCATACATGTATGGTCTGTTTCACTGTCTTTAAATGTTTCCACTGCAGGGGACAAGCAGAGGATGGGGAAGAATGAAGAGAATATGTCCTTTACCCACAGATCTCTGTGCTTTTGGAATTTTGTACAGAAAACGTCAATCTGTCCCATGTGTCCTACAGGTGAACTGCTGTCGTCTAAGAGATCTGGGCACAACTTCCTTATCTCAGCAACTCCCCACCCTCGCTCAGAGCAC